TAATCAACTTCCTACAACCATTCCTCTCCTTCATTCCTTCCTAATCTATTAATTTCAATAGCTCTTATTATCTTTCTTTTAAAAGCAGACGAACGCAAATAAGCAAACCTATTACTTCAAGGCTATTCCATTTCGTGTCGAGTCTCTAGCCCGTGCTTGGCTGCTTCTGACCGTTTGACTTGGCTGCTTTTACAAGCATTTATGTGTTCCGTTAACTTTTGGGGAACTGGTAGACACATATCATAATCGCAAGTTCGACCGCAGGGGCACACACTAACGTATCATCCGGATTTCAAGAATGGGTCATATTTCTCTCTAAAAGAAGGCATAATCCAAGAAAGTGTCAGAATTTATTTAAAAACTTTTTTAATTCCTCCCTTTCACATTAAGTTTCTTTTCATAAAGCATATCCAATAGCCACCAATAAATCCTAATCAATTTTCTGCACTTGTTCCTCTTATTCAGGATATTGGCTGTCTTATCAAATTCTCTAGACTATCTAATCTTGCGCTTTTATGTGAAGTTACCATAATCCACAAAATGTGTCTTGGGCTAGTTTAGTGGGTGCCCTATATTAGCCGACAATCCAGAAGATACTAGGGGAACAAAAAACCGCTAATAAAGTTGTATGGTTTAATACAGGACACTCAATAGATGGGTCAAAAACATAACTTTTTGCGGATCATAGGACCTTAAGATTAATGCTTAAGAGTAGGTAGTCTATAGAAATTGACAAAACAGCAATTCCCTGAGTAGGAGGAATGAATGAAGAAAATTGATTGGGAATTATTTGTGGCTGTTGGATAGGCTTATGGATAGTGAAAGAGGAAGTGCTGGAGGAGCCACTGAACAAGGAGGTTGGATTAGTCTTGAGTCTAACTATGATTATCACGCTTCTCATGACATGAGTATTACATGAACACAAACTTAAATATGAATCAGCATTAGATGATCGTACACTAGTTTAATTGTGTAATGAAAAGGCTGAAACCGGAAGCACTTCCGGTTCGTCAACTAACTCTTCTCATCTGCAAGCATGCAGATAAACTTGTGCTAGCAAGTACAATTAAAGAATGCGTAATTAGAATAGCAAGATTAGGTCTATAAAAAACGACTAGGCTTACATCCGTCCACATATTTTTATGGTTTATATTATTTTTGTTTTATTTCATAAAGTATGGGTTCTTGCTCTGATGTATAGCCGAAAGCAGGCATAGCAAGTATATTAAAATAATACTTTTTATATGACCATGTAGCAAGAGAGGGATAAAATATCCCATTTAATAATAAAAGTTTTCATCTATGAGCAACGAATTGAAGTGACTTCGAGTCAGATTTAACAAACAAACGATATAACTATTTATTTTTACAGCATTAACCTTTTAATTTGAGTCACTAATCGCATGTTATTTTAAAGAGTGTCCTTATTCGGATAACAAATTAATTATATTATCTTGTCGAAAAAGTAAATATTAATTACATGCCAATATAGGATCATATATTTTCGCATTTGCTAGTAATATATTAAGAAATTAGGCGTATTTAAATAACGATATTCAAAGATTTTTTATTGACCTTAATCTTAAGGTCGAAAATGCATCAACTCATATCTTAATATGCCCATGAAACAAACAAATTATTCCAGCAAAACTAAAAAAACAATTAAATATATATAAAACAATAGTATTAAAAAAAATATTTATTTAATGATACGCGTAAAATTAATAAAAAATACTACATATAAAGCTTTAGTAATGATTTCTTAAAATTACTTAATGTCGTAAACGTTTGGTAGGGCAGATTTTTAAACGGATTGGCCGGAAAAACTGCTTTTGAGCCTTAAGAGGATATTATATTTAAATATGAATATACCTAGAGTGGTATTATTCATAGGTTTTATTTTAGGATACAGTTATAGCATAAATCCTTGGGCCGGCTGTCCAAATGATCACCAGTATGAAACATGTAGGACTTATTGTATTTATTTTTATTACAAGCATGTCCAAAGGGGTGGCTTGCATCTGAAATTTATTGTTATGCTTTTATGCAGCAACCAACTCTTAATTACGCTGGTGCCAGACAAAATTGCATTGTAAGTATTTTTAATGTAATATCGGGTCCAATCAGAAGTTAGGTGCTATGCTTTCAAAAGTTGACAGTCTTAGTCAGCATAACTTCATAGCAAATTATTTGGATGGAAATACAGTTTCAAGATTGTACGTTTACTTTTTATTCATATAATTCTTAAAGTATGAGATGGTATACCTCGGGGATAATGAATCCAGCTTCCTTTGGAGAATTTGTTTGGGATGGATATTCTCCATTTGAAAAAAATTTGCGAACTGAATTATCTAGTATTTGGATAGATTCTGTTCCTCGACCGCATGAAAAACCCAGTTTCTCTCCTGCTCGAACTCGACTGGTTTATGGCACAAACGGTGTAAGATGGGGCTGGTATATTGATACAGAAACTGAATTGAGAAGCTATATTTGCCAAGCAAACAAATCTATTGCGAATCAGCTTATGGAGCTTGAAAGAGGAGTTGATTACGGACAAATTGATTTAAATGACATACAGCGTGCTCCATGTTTTGTAAAGCAGCCATTTGATGTATGGTAAGCAATATAAATATTTTACATAGGAAATAATTAGAGAATTGCGGTATAAAATTATTTAGATATTTACATGAAGTTTAATTGCTTGTTTTTTCTACTAGACTTTTAGTGTATCAAACAAATGTGCGTAGTTTACTTGAATATGATTTCATTCATAGGTATCTTCCGAGCTATGCAACTGATAAATTTGCTGAGTTTACTTGCATGGCAAATGGAAACCCGGTTCCAACATACCGTTGGTATAAACTTGGTTATATACAAAGTGACCTCGTTCAGTCAAATGCTTCAGTCATAACCCGAACGTTAATTGACCCATTGTCAGATCCTACTGGCCGTATTGCTATAAGTATGGGCTCCCTTGTTATCCACTACGCTGATCCACAGATTGATGCTCAAGATTACCAATGTGAGGCTATCAACCAATATGGTAGTATTTTGAGCCGCACAGCCCGTATTGTGTTTGTACAGTTGGAAACATTCCAAAAGCAGCCGAAAATGCCAAGAACAGTTGCGGCTCATCGAAGTATTACCATCCCTTGTGACCCTATTGCTCATTCTCCTCCTGATAGTAAGCTATCGATGAATAAATTAAAGGTTTACATAATTAAAATTATAGGATTTACTCTACGTTTTGTAAATATTTTTGTAAGCACTAAAACTGCAAACCAATGTATCAGTGGGAGATTGCTCTTAATAATTTCCAAATATGTTTGATAACTCCGCTGGCTTTCTTCAATTTTTTTAGGCTGCAGTGCAAATAAAATTTCTATAAAA